ACATGTGAATGAGTGTAATTTACATTTTGATTAACTTCAAGTTACATGTGGAATCACACGAGTTACATTTCATATAGTTATGGGAGCATGGTACTCACCATGCACCGGTTGCACCGTATACGGACTGCTTCACTGTTGGGTGATGTGTTGTGGGACCACTTTGACTTTTGGATTAGGGTGTTCTCACTCCAGCGGCGCACTTGATCAGGAAGACTCTAGAGTTTCTACTCTCGCAACGGGTCGGGTTTCCTGAATGGTGTTGGCCGCGTGTTGTCTTCTGGATCCACTCATTTGGGCTTTATTTGTCCTGTTCGCTGCTTCTTGTTTGATTGTGGATTCTTCTCCCTAGACTTCCACTGCCTTTAATTAGGTTTTGGTTGCTTTTGTGGGCTGGATTTTTTTGTTGGACATTTTGTTTTGTGTACTGGATGTTAGTTGGGCCTTGAGTTTTAATTAATTCTTGGCCAGCAGGATTTTCGTGCTTTGTTTGTGGTGCTTTTGATGTTTGCTTGTTTGTGATCCAGGAACTTGTCCCGTGCCATCTCTGCTAAAACTCTCCCTCATCTTGTACTGAAAGGGGTCAGGGGGAGTTTGGTTATTTTCGATAATTTAGGCTTCACTCTAGCTTTGTTTTATTTTGTTTTTGTTTTTGGATTCTTGGACAGGGGTATGCCCCATTGACATTGTACTTTTTTTATGAGTTCAACATGTACATTTTAGCCATTATTCTACATCAAATTTGATAGAGATTGTGCAGGTCTAAATTACTATTACTTTATCATTAAATATCAACTACATAAATTTAATTTTTTATTAACCACATCACTTACTCATATCTTAATGTTAGTGTGTAGGAGAGTACAATTCTTCATTTCTTTTTAATAGCCACATGGAAAAGTTTACACTATTCACATACTCCATTTTGACTACATTTTATCTATTAATGTATATATTTTTAAAATATTGTTGAACCCATTTCATTACATATTTTCATTATTTGATTTTCATTTTTTTACTCATACAAGATTTAAGTATAATGACGATCAAAACTGTGTATTGACAAACGTAAAAATAAGAATGGTGTAACTAAAAAAACGGGTAGAAATATAAAATTGTTGAAATATAATTGAATTAGTCATCTTCCAACTATTTCCGATTAGGGATTATTATCACCATTATATAAATAGTGGTGAAATCATAATTATGATTTCCAGGTGATAAATGTGTGCCTCACAATGATCTCCTAATCTCATTGAGCTCACACTTTCTCCTATAAATAGGAGTCATTCTCATTGTAATTAACACACCATGTGATGAGTCATTCTCATTTTAACCTCAAATATAATGATGAGATTGAAATTAATAAGAAGCAAGTATGTAAGCTAAATTACTTTTTCTATTAAATGCATGTGAGAATAGAGTACCTCATTTTATTTTCTCCTTTGTTATGTAATATGGAGTATTTTAAAATAAAAATTTGTTGAATGCAATTTTTATATAAAGTGTTTATTTTTAACATGAAAGTTATGCACAACTTTTGAACTAATATTTGTTCATTTTTATCTTCGCGAAGATATGGAGTTAACTGAAATTTCTCCAAATGGCTTTCAACAATGTTTAATAGACAGTGCCACAACGCACACCATTTTGAGACATATAAATTATTTTTCTCATATGACATTAGTTGAAGCTAATGTCAATACAATCTCAGGTGTTGCTAAACTCATTGAAGGTCTTGTAATAGCCTGTATGATTCTCCCAAAAGGGACAAAAGTAATAATTAAAGTCACTTTATACTCCACTAAATTACCGAGAAATCTTTTGAATTTTAAAGATACGCGTCTAAATGGTTTTCATATTGAAACCATGTCTGAAAATTAAGAGGAATAATTATGTTTAACGGCAAATAGATCTGACAATAAATACATTTCTGAAAAAATGTCAGCATATTCCTTCGGACTGTATTATACATATATAGTCCAATTGAGATAAATGTGGTATCTAAAATTAATAACCACAATTCTTTTATCTTTTTACATTGCCGTATAACTCATCCAGGCAGCACTATGATGCACAAAATTATTGAAAATTCACTTGGACATTCATTAAATAATGTTAAAATTACACAATCAAGTGATTTTCAGTGCACTGCATGTTCTCTTGGCAAATTAATTATCAGATTATCTTTATATAAAATTGGAGTTTAATTACCAATCTAGCTCTTAATATGTTAAATTGTAAACCTGTGAATACTACAGTTAGTGCACATTTTAAACTATCATTTGAATTGTGCCCTAAGTTTGATGTTGATATATAATGCCTGCACGGAGATAAACTTTCTTACGCCAGTGCATTTGATAGTCTTGTGGAAGCTGTGTGCATGATATCCTCTATTCTAAAAATCCTTCTCGGCGTTCGATTAGTCCCCGCCTAGACGCGCGCTAGGGCATTTATTGGGCGCTCCGATTTTCGTCTAGGCGCTCTGACTAATTGGTTATCCATCTTGGTGAATTAGTCGGCCGCCTATGGCGCCTAGTTGCCCGCCTAGAGCGCCTAATCGGCCGCACGCCTAGGTCGTCTAGATTCACCGAACATTACTTTACTTTTTAATTAAGATAAACCTATATATGTTTTGTACATATATCCAAATTTATCATTATTTATAACATAATGAAGTTAACTGATTAGTTATCATATGTTGGAAAAATATGTTAAAATTGCATTAAATGGTCTTTTTGGGGCAATTATTTGAGTGGGGTCCACTTCTGATTTGGGTCGGGTCAAAGTGGTTTCGGATTGTCCTTGCTAAGGGTTACAATTCGATATATGGTACACTCAAAACGGATAACGGGTGAATGAGAAATTGTTTTTCGAAGTTTACCCGTTGGAATGGAGAAAACTAGGAAAATGTGGGTTTTAGTGTGGGTTCTTTCCCAAACCGAAAATCACAAGGGAATTTGAACCCTTTATAAAGGGAAACCCCCCTACGGAGTTAAGATTCGTAAAGGGAAAGGCTCTCTCACGCGCGCAGGGGGGGTGCGAATCAAATCCCGAAACCGAAGAACAAAAACCGCGACCCGCACACACGAATGCCGTCCGAAAATCTATCTTCTAAAGATAACGTTAATTTTTGTTCTTCCGGTACGTTCCTACTTTAATTTTTGCTCCATGCACATAAATGTCCAACGTCTATATGCTGCCATTGATGTCCCAACGTTCATAATGTTTTGGGTTGTTTAAGGACTGGAATCAATGCCCAACGTTTAGGACATTGATGTCCAACGATCATAACCCTTAAACAGCCATTAACACACATTAATCCACCCCTATAAAAGGCTAGTAGGTGCTTTGCAAAGAAACAACATTTCATACACTTCGTTCACGTATTTTCATAGCTAAAACAGCACCTCTAGCTCTCCATACAAACTCCTTCGGTGTTCTGCTTTTGTTCACGTTCGTTGGAACTTTAGTTTGAGTGCTAAACTATGGTTCGAATTCATCGTATCCTGGGAAACGATCGTTGCAACGCTCCTAGCACCCCGGGAGGCAACGAATACGTTTTAAGGAAATCGTGTGTAGCACGAGCTTTGGCTTATTCGGCTTCATCTCATTTCTTGTTTTTCTTTAAGTCATTTTATTTAATTAATATTTATTAATTAATTTTCTTTGTTTTTTGAAACACACCCAACAATCATATATTACGTATGATTAAATGTGATAATTATGTCATTCATGTTTGTTAGTGTGTGTGTGTATATATATATATATATATATATATATATATATATATATATATATATATATATATATATATATATATATATATTATACACACAAAATATAATATTACTTATCATATTTATGCAAACATATAGATAAAAATGCAATTTCTATTTCTCCGACTAGTCCCCGCCTAGGTGCCCGTTTAGGTGCCCGCCTAGCGCCTAGGCACTAGGCGTTGGGATGGCGCCTGACTAGCGTCTAGCGCCTTTTAGAACATTGATGACATCTGGTTGATCACTTAAGTAGTTAGCATGGTGAGTTGGTTTTTGTGTTTTTTTTTAATTTTCTACAATGGTGAGTTAGTACATGTATAATCCTAGTAAAGAACATTGGAATGTTGTAAAATGGATTTCGTGCTACTTAAAGGATACTTCTTATATGGATTTAATTTTGGTGATGAAAAAATAACTACTTGTTAAAGAAGCCGCTTGGTTATGAGGACTACTTGTTATGGAGTTTGTTTGAGAGCGCTAGACAATTTTTTTGTGATAGTCAAAGTGCTATTCACCTCTTTAAGATTGCATGGTACATGTCATGCCAAAATAAAGTATTAATGCATGTTTTCATTTTATATGAGAAGTTGTAGGTGCAAGAAATATTGTTGTCAGAAAGCTTCTTCTTATTGCTTAATTCAAGCATTGCTTGAACTTAATTGAATTTGACCTAAAGTAAGAGACTGCTGAGATATGGCTCAAATTCTACCCTTTGATGAGGCCATGTGGTTGAAGACTTATTCTGTAACTTTTGTTTCTAGCTTATGGAATAAGCATATATAGTTATGATTATACTCTCTTCGTCTCAATTTGATTTGCAAAATTTCCTATTTTGGTTGTCCCAAAATGGTTTTACACTTTCTATTTTAGGTATGTAAATAAGAATAAAGTGACAAATTTACCCTTACTTTTACTTTTTTTTTCATTAACTTAAAGTCATCTACTTTTAGCAAGATGGGCAAAAGTGTAAAAATCAAACATCATTTATTGTTATTCCTTAATCCTTGTTCCGGTCAAAGTTTGCAATTCAATTCCGAATGAAGGGAGTAGCATATTCATCGGTCATGACTACCTTAATAAGGGAAATGTACTAAAAGGATATTTTTAGTACATATTTTTAGTACTATGAGGTGAGTTTTGCTAATCACGTAAGTACTAATGAATCATACCTTTTTAAACCACTCATGTATGTGTGGCATGTCTTAGATGATAATTATAGTCATTTGCATATCCAAATACATAAATAGTCATATACTAGTATTAGGAAAACAAAGATGTTTTAGTACTCCTTAGAATAGATATATATAGTGTGAGATAGTGATATAAAGTTTACATCCTTAGAATAGATATAATGAAACCTTCATCATCACATGCATGTAACTCTACCAGGTGACACCCCCTTACAGCATAGCATGGTGGCCGGCGATGGGCTTTTTCCGGCAGAGATCGATGGAGGCAGCTAGCAGGTTGGTCACTTAGCTTGCTGGAGTCATGAGCAGCATTCCTCACATGTAAAGCAAGCCCATAATATCTTACACCTACAAGCATCCACCAAATTAATTAAATCACATGAATTGTTTGCTAGATCGATGGAGTTTCATTCACATTTGTGTAATCTCTCTCTACGATTTTTTATCAATCGAAATGACATTTTTAATGCTACTCAAGATGACATTGTTTTTTAACGACTCGATATGTTCATCAAGATAGAAGATAAGAGTTCTTTTACGGTCAAGATGGCTTATTGTTTAATAATGACACTTTGACTTGAGAATCGTGAATCGTGATTTAGATAGATTGATGACATTCTAGTTTCAAGATTACATGGTTTATTGGGTCAAATTTTTACAAGTTTTTTGATAAGAATTTCTTTGATATTTACACTCTGACACTCGAGGAGTGTTTGGATCTGATTCTCAAAACTGCTTCTGTTCCTTCATAGAGCAGGATCATTCTGAAAGTGTAAAAGTGTTTCGGTGTGCTCAAAATTGCTCCTAGAAACTGTCTTTTAGAAGCCGTGAGACACCAGTTTTTGAAAAACAGATTCTAATTTTACTTTTGCTTTTAAAAAAGAACTAGAAATGTGTAATTGTATACTACATTGTTCATATAAAAGTACATATTCATAGATTTATCTAGGGGTGTAAACGAACCGAACCCAAACTCACATATGCTCGAACTCGAGCTCGAAAAAATTTTATATGCTCGAGTTCAGCTCGAGCTCGATCAAGCTTAAAAAATTGATACTCGAGTTCGACTCGAAAGCTTTACTTGAGCTCACGAGCCGCTCGAGATTGACTCGTAAGCTTAGCCATTTTATTAAGCTTTGTTAACGTGCTGCTCGGTTGGTTCACAATTGTTTGCATGGATATGAGGTGCTTTATAGGTGGCTGGTAGAGGAAACTACTCCTCACTTTCCGGTGTCGGAAGTATAGAGATTAGAAACTAAAATCAAATCTGAGTGTTGAAATCCGAAGGAGTACACAAAAAGATAACGTGGAGGGGATTCAAACCTGGGTTGCCTACAAACCCTACAAGGGAAATTCCATCCCGTCTACCAACCAGTTTGTATAAATTTTGATGTCATTTTCTTTTATTCTTATTCCCAGTGAACTAACGAAAAAACTAATACTTTTTTTTGTTTTTACGAATAAACTAATACTTAGTTCGTGTTATATATGTAGTATTATACTCCGTAATTATTATAGATAATGATTATAATAATAAATAATGTTATATTTTATTATGTCTATTATAATATACGTAGTAATAAGTATTAAAAATAGAGTAATTCTAAATAGAATAACTATTTCAAAAATATTATATATATAATTATTATACAACATGTAGGCTCGTGAACCGGCTCGCGAATCGGCTCGCGAGCCACGAGCCTAAAATTAAGAGGCTTGACTCGAGCTTGTTTAGTATACGAGTCCAGCTGAACTCGAGCCGAACTTGAATATGATCGAACTCGAGTCGAGCTTTTCCCGAGCGATCCACGAGCGACTCGCGAATGGCTTGGCTCGTTTGCACCCCTAGATTTACCCAATGAAACATTTTTCATACACAGGCCGTCTATACAATTTTAAGGCCTTCAATCACTGTTGTATATTCATAAGTTAATGTTAAACAAAAAAAATACTACTTCGTACTTCGTATTAATTAGTTATATATCACTGGACCTCTGTAAGTATTTTGAAGTCAATCTAGTTTTCTTTTGATTGCCAATTTTATATACAAAAAATCTTGTTAATTTCCATATTTTCTATTGCACATTAGATCCTTCTGAATTGAATATGTAAATATATTTTTTCAATACTACGTAAATCTAATTACTAACACTGATTTATGTGTTATAGAAAATTATTAAGTTTATGCTTAATTAGCCAAACATATACTACCTCCGTCCCGATTTACTTAGCCAAATTTGACTTTTCAAGTCAACGGCCTCTAACTTTGACCAATTATTTAAGCTAATATATTTATGCAAAATTTAATAATTTTATACTTTTATGATAATGTTTTTAACAAAGAACATTTTCATATCATTTTCATATTATCAATAGTTTCTCTATATAAACATATAATCGGTCAAAGTTAGACGCCGTTGACTTGAAAAGTCAAGTTTGGCTATATAAACATTTTCATATCAAGCTTAGCGAAACATATACTAGTATAACTTGAGATGAGACGAGTAATTCGGAAATGGTGAGTAGAATTCATCAACTCGTCAACCAATTTTTTTTAAGAAACTCGTCAATCAACTTAAGTCATTATTATACATTCAAATTAGTTATATATAGAACAACTCGATATATACAATTAAAACTTTTAAATATAGGCAGAAGCAATAAAAGAAAAATAAACAGACAATAAAAGGTTCATATGGCTAGTTGCAATATTCTTATCATCTTACGGGTGAAAAGTGAAAATTTATCCTTTTCACCCCATATGGTATGCAACCTTGCAAAAAAAAACGTAAAGGAAGGTGTAGTGGCGTAGGCAGGTGTCTAAATTGGACTATACTGGTATAATTAAGTTTTATTTTTAAAATTAATTTAACAAAAAAAAAATCCACTTATATTTAAGACATATTTTAAATTTGGATTGGATTGGGACTTAGGATGCCTTAAACGAGGTTGTTAAAATGGAAAAAGGAAATAGGAAGATGTTAAAATTGGTTGACAGCACCCTTGGACGCTGGGAAAAAGGAAAAAACGAGGTTGGGTCTACGTTGTCATGAATTTTATTTTTTATTTTTCAAATTTAAAATTTTATTTAATTTTATTAAATAAATAAACTTTTGGAATGAAAAATTCATCAAGAATTAGTAACCGAATTAATAATAAATTAAATGAATCAAAACCTATGAAATTTTAAGTCCTAAATTGATAGGTTTCAATTGTTCAGGCATAATATCGACACATTTCATCTATTTGATATCATATTGATAATTCATTTATCTTTCAGATCTTGCATTAATAAAAATCCACTTTTTTAGGATGGTACACTTTGAAATACCAGTATCTCTTGCCTGACCCGTCAACTTTTAACTACAATATCTTAATAAACGGATAACACAAAACAAATAAGAAAATGATTTGAAACTAACAAAAAAATCATGTTAATTAAACATAATTTTGTTGGAATATGAAAAAAGCATAAAGAAGTAAAAACAGGAATGTAAAATCTATATTTTATTTGCATGTGTTTTTCTAATTGTTTGTATATTCTACTTTTTAAGAATTCTACATTGTAGTTTTATATTTTGTACTTTTTCATGTATTGTATTTATTTGAAAAGATTTTTAGTATTTATCCATTTTGACACTTTTACTATTTTGTACTTCTATTTTTATATGTTTACATTATATATATATGTGTGTGTTTTTATATACAAAAATATTCAATTTTCTTAACTTACTCCGTATTTTCTAAAAAAAGAACTACTATAGGAGGGAAGAGACTAATCATAACTAGGACGCGCATGTGATCAGGGGGTAAAGTCCTAAAATGGTGCGAGTGTGGGGCAAGAAATAATGTATTAAAGGGTGCCAAAGTGGATATGTAACACCCGTGGGATGAGACGTTAATATCCTTCTTACCCGCACGGGTAGCTCAGTTTCAGTGGTGGGAAATTTGAACCAAGTGATCAAGGTTCGAAACTCGCAGCGACCGTGTAGAGGTCACAGAACCTGAAATAAGGCTGGGCCTCTAGTGCCCACGGGAAAAAGACCTACCATCATTGAACCGACTGAGTCACCGTGATTAACATCCTCCCAAAAATCTTGTCGGGTCGGAGTATGGGGGGCTGGTGGGGTGGGAGATTCCACATTTGGACCAAGTTAATATCCTTTTTCACGGAGGAAGCCAACATGGAAGTCTACGGAATTAGAGAAAGAGGATGGGCAGCTGATGACATGTAGGACCCAATTAAAAAATAATCTCATTTTTCTTAAAATTGCTATAATTTTTTTATTTGTATTCTTATTTTTATAAAAATCATATCAATATTTATACTCCGTAACTTTTTATTATCTTTCATATGACCAATAATGCATATATAAAATTTAAAATAAGAATTTGAAGTTTCAACTGCTTGATGTTTTTAGACTCGAGCTTTTCTTGAATAGATTCAAGTTCTAAAATTAATATCACATGGTTCAATTTTTTTTACATCTATCAGTTATTTGTTTTTCAAAAATAGGTTTAAAGTAACAACAAAAATTAAATCCATATTTATTTATTTTTATATCAAAATGTTTGACTTTTCAAATCATAATCATTTACAAAAATAATTTGGCAAAAAAATGAAATATAATAATAAAAAGTAAGGATTTAATTAAAAAACATTGTTGGGTGAATAATATTAACGGTGTTGGATTGCGGGAAAGCACTGAATTAATCGAGTAGAATAAGTATAAATCGGTGGAGAATTTGTTTTATGGACGAAGAAGGTTGCAGTTAACCTTAAGGGCAGAAGCCCATAGAGATGTGAAGAATGCTAAATATAGTGTACGTCAATCATATGAATATAACTCAAGAGATGTACTAAAAAAGTTAGGAATTGTCCAAATACATACACAAGTATACAAAAAAATTGCACTCATTTATGTACATCGACAATTCCTAACTTTTTTTGAAACATGTTGCATGTATATACAAGAGTCTTAGGGAAGTGTACATAAAAAGTGTGTACACCAAAAACTGCTCTTACATTCTACAACAATTGCTGGAACCTTCTGGCTCGCTTCGGACACAGTACTCCATCTTCTCTTTTCTAGGCGGGGAGTTCCTTTCGGTGGGATAACCTTAAAAAATACAATTGGTAACTAATGGAAAACTAAAAAAAGTGTGATGCATGTGTATAGTGATATTCATGAAGTTTCATCAATGGGGGCGAACTAGCATGGATTGTCTCATGCATCTCATAAACATTGATCACGTCAAGAAAAAATAGTGTAAAATCTATTATAATAACAAAATATTTGTGGGACAAAATATTATGTTTTCTTAATTATTTAATAATTTCATTGCAGATAAAATTTTACTTTGCTAAAAATAAATTTTAATCACATAGTTTGTAATTTATTCAAAATTACTTTGTATGTCACTACAAAAAATAAAAGTTTTGGCACCGATCTATGGCACGGATTCATCAATGCCATAAATATATTATGATATGTGTCAAACTCGAGAAATCTGTGTAAAGTTCGTACCAATATTGTTGTTTTTTGTAGTACGTTAACATTAAGAATCAACTAAAGAATGAATTAAATATGTATTTATAATTACCTTAATTTTGCGAATTCACAAGCTTGTGTTAACATTAAGAATCAACTAAAGAATGAATTAAATATATATTAAAAACAATATATATTAAGTGTAACAATGTAGCTATATATTAAACTTCACAAGTTATATGCGAAAAATTAAAGTATAATCATACTGAAGTAGTTCAAACAAGCCAAAATTTGAATTCATTTATGTAAATTCACTTTAAGTTAGTTTAGAACTTAAAAAAGACGGAAGTAAAACTCCACTCAGCTATTGTAACTCTTTCTATCACAAGCGCTATTAACGTAAAATAATATACTGATATTTAACACATATTTACATGTACAATTTTTTATTTAATTTATATAGTGGTTGAGTGGGGGTTGGGTTGGGGCAGCTGCCCCTACCCCCATTGTGATGTTGAAATAAAACTGTTATATTTTTTTAAGTGTTAGTATGTTAGTGTGATGCTCGAATCATGTGTATCACACAAATAAATACTTCTACTCAGTACCTTAAAATTTTGTAATCTATAACATTACAGGTCAAAGATAGATGACAAATTTTAAAAAATAATTTTGCATATTAGTAATTAATTTCCTATAATTATGAATAAACAAATGATCAAAGTTTAACTTGATTGGTCAAAACATTCAGAGGTGGCAATGTTATAAAGGGGAGAAAGAATATTTAATTATTTATACATATATAGGGTTAAATGTATAAAGGGGAAAATAATATAAGTATCTCAAACATTAAAGAGCTGTGAGAGATACCCCAAACTTACATATGTAATATATACCCCGAACTTTATGATATATTGCAATGTACTACGAAAATTCTAATGCAAACAATCATATATATATATATATATATATATATATATATATATATATATATATATATATATATATATATATATATATATATATATATATATATATATATATATATCGCAAGCTAAGGCTGATTCATTTTTAATCCAAATTAAATTATGTCTTTCTTTCAGAAAGTCAAGTATTATTGTTTAGAATTGACTTAATGGCTTTCAAAACTAGACATAATGGACCAATGATATACCCGAATCGACCCGACCCGACTCGTTTCCATCCATGGGGCCGGGTAGTGTCCGCTTTAGAAAACTTTTTGGTCTGCCACTGGCTAGATATTATGCTACTATCTCGCGACTGCACGCAGTTTGATTGATCATAAAATGGGAAATTGGCATTGACATCCCTTCAGGTTTGGTGTATTATCAGTCACACCCCTGCACTATAAAAGATGTACTCTTACCCTCCTCTCTATCATATCCTTTAGTGATTATTAAGTAACTTTTAATTTACACTTAGAAAAAATTATCGATATAGTTCCATAACTTTTGATTGTATCCAGTTTTATTGTTGTAATTTTTATAATCATGGATCTAATTGGATAATTAATAAATTTGTCCATGTCAAAGACTCTCCCACCAAAAATCAAACCTAATGAAACAAAAAACAATCAAAACTTATCTCACTCTATATAAGTCACTTTATGCCTTTGGATTTAAAAAATAACAACTGAATTGAAAAAAGCTGACCAAAACATTCTAAAATTGACCAAAATTGGAACAAACCAATCGAAATTAACCGAAACTAACACTAAAGTATATTTTGGTTCTCGCTTTCATTATTATCAAAATTTACCATAAAAATAGAAGCGATTAACATCCCTAATTTTTAGGTAAGTATTTCTCATACAAATTTAAATCAGGTACAATAGCAGACCATAAAATTTAAATTTATTTCTCAAAAAATACTTCAGAGTTAGTTTCAGTTAATTAATGTTGATTTGTTTTAATTTTGGTCGATTTTAGTATGTTTTGGTCGAAATTTTCAATTCAGTCATTTTTCAAATCCAAAGGCATAAAGCGAACTATCTAGAGTGAGGTCAATTTTGATCATTTTTTATTTTATTAGGTTCAATTTCCGGTGGAAAGGTCTTTAATATGGACAAATTTATTAATCATTCGATCAAATCTGTGTTTGCATAAAATTAGAATATTAATAGTGGACACAATCAAAAGTTACGAAAGTATTTCAATAGTTTTTTCTCTAAACGTAAATTAGAAGTTAGTTAACCATCATTAAAAAAAATAGGGAGGTGGTGATGGTACATTTTATATAGTGCGGGGTTGTGAGCGATAATTTCTAAAACTCAAGGTGCCGATGCTAATTTCCCCATAAAATTGACTCTTTTCTATATTCTAATAAAATATATGTAGGTACGAATTAATATTAAATTATTAACCAACAATAATACGGAGTATGAAGTTATAGTCCGTATTATTTAGAAATTAAACGATTTATATAAGTAACAGCAAACAAGCCTAGCTTTTCATTTATACCTGCAGATAAAAGAATCGATGAACCAAGTAAAGTCACTGCATTGAATTAATACCTGCAGGCCTCTGTTGTGTTTCATTTATCATGGTTCCTAGCTTTTCTGTACGTTCTTTTATAACAAGCTTTGGCAATGGATCCATGCTATATTATCGTTTACTTCCGTGCTGTATCCATATATCCTCCAAGTTTCTATATATAAGCATCATTGTGGGCAGGGGTGGAGACAGGGAGGGGTTGGAGGGGGTCTCGGGCCCTGCAATAACAAAAATTTCACGTGGCTTAATAAAGTAAAAACTGTGTGGTTGAAATTTGTGCAGAGGAAGGAGAATTAATTTTAGCCACATATTCTTTACTTTAAATGAAAATTCCAAAAAAAAGAAATTTGGCCAACCTTTTTGGGACGCAGGGAGTATTATGTATAAATATTTTTAATCTATAGAAAGTATGTTGTTATTTTAAACTTTGATCCCAATAATGTAAAGTTTTAATGACCGATCCATTTAACCCTAGATTTCCGGCTCCGCTACCTATTGTGGGCTCTGGCTAATGGCGTAAGATAGCTGCTGTTATATCATCAAATTTAAGGGTTTCCATTGTTTTCTTTTAAAGTCATCAAACTATTAAAGTCAGCTGATGATGTAATGGTAGGCCGAAGCTTCATCATGGCTGACATGGCAAACGTAATTTTCATAGAAATTCACCGTCTCCATCTTAAAGTTAAAGTTATTAAAACAAATAGCTAGCTTCTATTGACTATGCCAAAAAATATACTCAGTCCGTCCATTAAATTAACTTTAGGAATTTTCTTTTTTTGTCTCACTAATTTTGTCACTTTCCCTTTTAAGTAAAGAATTTGTGGTTTTAATTAACTATTTCTCATTTGCACAAAGTTCAATCACACAGTTTTTACTTTATTAATTCTCGTACTGGTCAAACTTGGCCAAGTTTTAGGGACATTTCAACAAATAGGAGCAAAACATACGGATTTTCCAAAACTAAGACCGAAGATTAGCGTAAGACTCAACTACACCTGCATTGACCACAATACCCTTACTTTTAAAAAATAACAGACATTAAATAGGCAATAAATACACAATAAGTAGACAATAAATAAACAATAAATTTTGATAAAATAATCTATTCAAATCCAAGCCCAAATCCCATATTGAAGCTACGGAATCCTTGGTCATGGTGCAGAGTTGCGTTGAACATGGAAGAAAAATCGCAAATAAGACCACAGTGGAAAATCACAAATAAGACCACAGGTGACATCACCGGGAGGCGGGAGGTGGCGGTAGTGCCGTCGCCTGACAGTGCAGGCAGATTCGTCGGACGGCCACTTCTTGGGGGAGGCGGAGGCAGCGGCTCCATGGACGTGGCGGCGGTGACTCCATGGAGGTGGCGGCGACGGCTCCCTTGAGGTGACGGCGGCAGCAGCTCATAGGAGGTGCAACGGATGTCTACTTGGGTGTGAGGCTGCAGCTTCGTTAGGGTTGCAAAGATTAAAGCCTGAAGGGTAAATTTGGAAAGTTAGAAATAGGTTTCCTAATCTAAAACTAAATAGGTAATATGAATGGAAAAAACATTAGCAGGTATTATTTTTGTAAAAGAGTTGTGATTTGATCCTACTAGGAGCAAATTTCTCCAAGTTTTAAGGGATGGAAGGACCGAAGGAGTACTAAGTTGGTTTATTACTACATTCGTTCTTAAATAAATGCAACAATCTACTTTTCACGTTTGTCGATACAAAACTTTGATCACAAGTGTGTATATTTCTCGATTAGTAAAAATATTAAAACATCATATTTTGAAAATTTGCAATGTGACAAATTAAATGTAACAATATTTCTTAGAAAATTTATTAATAGTTTAATACATTAATAAAATCACGTAATATATAATCAGAATAGAAGTATAGAACATGTGAAAAAATATATTACGGTTGCATTGATTTAGGAATGGAGGTAATATGTATTTAATAAAGTTGATCAATTGATTTTGTAATGGTAGGCCAAAGCTTTCATCATGGCAAACGTAATTTGCATACAAATTCACGGTCTTCCTCTTAAAGTTGAACTTAATAAAAAATTAGCTTCTATTGACTATGCTATAAAAATATATTAAATGGGTTAATTATGTGTTTAATAATGTCGATCTACTGATTTTGTAATGGTAGGCCAAAACTTTCATCACGGCAAACATAATTTGCATAGAAATTCACCTTCTCTTAAAATTAAAGATTTAATAAAAAAATAGCTTCTCTTGATTATGCCAAAAAATATACTCCCTCCGTTCCAATTTGATTTGCAAAATTTCCTTTTTTGATTGTCCCAAAATGATTTTCCACTTTCTATTTTAGGTATGTAAATAAGAATAAAGTAACAAATTTGCCCTTACTTTTACTTTTTCCCCATTAACTTAAAGACACCTACTTTTAGAAAGATGGGCAAAAGTGTAAAAAGCAAACATCATTTATTGTCATTTCTTAATCCTTGTGCCGGTCAAAGTTTGTAGTTCAATTCGGGACGGAGGGAGTATCAAGTGAGATAAATATGTATTTAATTGGAGGAAAATTGTTAGCTAGTCTTAATTGTAGTGATGTGTTTGCATTAATTAACTCTACATTTTAGAAGTTATTTATTTAGAGATTATATGAAATGTGATTAATAGCAATAAAATGGGACTTTATGTTCCAAGCACCGTTTCCCCTTCTTTGATTGTCTAGCTTTAAAATGTTCAATATAAGCAAAACAATCTATTTCAAAATGTTAATGGTAACTTTGTTGCAAAGAAATTTTTTAGGGAGATTTTCCAAAATAGGATTAAATAAAGTTTGGAATTCCAAAATAGGACGACTATGTTTTTATTTCAAAAATAGGACTAACATGACAGTATTTACTGTCATCTTGTAGGTGTGACTGCCAAATAGTTACAGTACAGTGCATTTAACATAGTAATATTTATTATAAATAATGACAATATTTTTCATGCATCATTTACTGAAGAAAAACATAGTGATCCTATTTTGGAATTCGAAACATCATTTACTCCTATTTAGGGCAATTTCTCAATTTTTTATGAAAAATTATCAATGTATGGAAAATGAGGTAAGTGCTTAATTTAAATAAAATCTTCTCACCCAAACTATCACCCCTGCGGCCCTGCAATCATCTCATCCAAGTCCATGTAGACGACCCTGGGAATCGGGGCCCGGGACCAGACGGGATCCATATGTAATTTACATATATTCTCAAGACACCATCCCACCACTAGGTGCGCTCATGACAACTAAGAATTTAGTGCTTTCACATGCAATGTATGATACCCCCCCCCCCCCCCCCCCCCCCCCATCTGAACCTTTTGAAGAGAAAAGATTAGTGAACAGCTTAATTAGTTAGAACACAACTACTGATACATCATGGTTCCTCAAAAACTGTTTCTTCGTGTATTACAAACTGGTGAAGCAGTTCCACAAAACCAAAAAGTACCAACCCTACGGTCACCACCATCTATTGATGAACAAGTGCATAAACAGGAAACAATGGATTGCTGGCAGCCAGACAGACATTCATCTTAAGCACCCTTTTGAGGGAGTGTTTCGAAAGCAGAAACCGTGTTCTCAAACTTGACGCGATGCAGTGGTGCACCACTTTGTTTGATAGCACATGCTTGCTTGTCCTCAAGTGGACAACGGGCTTTAAGCATTGAGAATACATAATTACTTAATCTCCTTGCTCTCTTCATAGCCTCCAATAAGCTATCCAACCCCTTTCATAAAGAATAGATGTAAGGCTTTGGACACTTAATACTAATAAAGCAGTCTTCCAGAAGGAAAATTTATACCTGAACAAATGGAAGACTCTTTTGTGGTGATGCAACTGCTGCTGCTTCTACCTCTGAAACATTGAGGACTTGATGTGAAAAATCAAAAAGTTCAAAGTGCAGTTGCTGACCAAGCAAGTAGATTATTGTGCATCCACCCCAAGCAACAGAATCACCCAACATTTCGTGGCTGCTTGATTGCAATAAAACAGATTCCTCCAAGTACTCCTGAGTTTAAGAACTCTGTCAGATGTGCAGATCACTAACCCCAGTAGAGGCACTAAAAAGGAATGGTTCATAGCGGCATTTGAAGCCATCTATCAGCTTTTAGTTTTAGACGAACTTTTATGTTCCAGAAAGAGTTTTATGATACTTGGAGTCCCCGACTATGGTGTTAGTGACAATTTTGGTACTTGACTTATAATTTTTCCATTTTAGTCTACTATTGTGTGAAAGACACTTTTAGTCCTCGCCTCCTCGGCTTCAAAACTCCCCAGATTTAGTCCCCTGAATATTGTCAAATCGACACTTTTAGTCCTTCCACTATGATTTTGGCACAATAAGTGGAGGAACACTATAATAATAGATTAATGATCAAAAGTGTCACTTTTGTGAAAGTCGGATGATTAAATATGGAAAATTTCAAAGACAGGTATCCAAAGTGTCTTTTGCACAAAAGGTGAAAAAATTCAAAGTCGAGCCTCAAAAGTGTCACTGACATAGTAGTCAGAGGGCCAAAACTGGAAAAAAAACAAAACAAAAAAAAACTCTTCCAGAAAACTATTGTGGTGAGACATGCTTTGACCTTCAGTTGGCCTTACCACCAGATGACAGTAGTTGCACAAACTTTGATTGACTTATGCCATACACAATTTCATTTGGTCTGAAGTGTTAACGCAACATCTGTAGCTTGTGAGAAAAGAAATGGCTTCTAATCATCCAATGGAAGCTTACTACTGTATCGCCTAAATTCAACTGTGACTAAAGAAGGCAACTAGCCAGTGCTTTGCAGATGTGCTTTACCCAGGGTTCAAGATGGTAGAGCATAGCAAATGCATAAGCTCCTCTTTGAGCCAAGCCAATCACCTACTAATAAGTGAATGAGGGGAAAAAAATTCCTTTTGTACAAGCCGTCTGTACATGTTTTTTGTGCACGCCCCTATTATGTCTGTACAAAGGCAATTCGTCTAAAAACAAAAAAAAAACTTGGAATTTTTTTGGAAGTTGCCTGTGTCACATGTAAAAAGGGGCATGCACACGCCGAAAAACGACTCATGAGGGGTGTTACCCTATCATTCAACGGCATTAATCTTACATCAACATCAGTACTAGTGCTGTT